CTCCTCCCTGCTTCCAACCGTCGTACACCCAGGGTCGGCACCCGCGCCCACCGGCCAAGACATCTCAACGGACCGCCTTTGAGGAGAGCGGTCTTGTAGACAGCTCCCTTGTATAGAGTTTTAGCGACAAGAGAACTAGAACAGAAGAAATATAAAGAATATATAACATACAAGTAGTCAGTGACTATTTATATTCTGTATCTCATGGCTTGCAAATGTTGTCCGCGACTATCTTCGTTCACATCTCTTGATGAATGATGGTGACTGGGTGACACTATATCGCCAATCAAATAAAAAAAAAAAGGTTTTAATTAGGCTCAACTAAAATATCGTCACACATCCTGCTACGGTCCGCGCGAGCGGCCGAGCCTTTTCCTCGAGTGATAACTGAACCCCCGGCTCGATCAGCGAAACTATGGGATAAATCGCGAATGCACACACTCACAATCAGGAGACAAGAGCGGAGGAAAGAGGAGAACAACAGCTCTGCTTTCTGCCCGTTTGTGTCCCCCCCCAGTTTCAAATCGTTTATTATATATTTTTTTTAACCGCAAGCCGTTATCGTCACGGGAGAAGGGACACAAAGCAGCCTGTCCAGGTGGACGCGCGCGAACGCGACAACGAACGTGACAACGAACGTAGCGTGCACATTCTAAAAATAGCTCACAGATGGTGAGCAGGTACCGCGGTTTTGAACTACAGTATTGAATTTGACAGAAAACAACAATGAAACGCCAGCAGAAGAATAGTCTAATGAGTTGGGTGAAAAAAAAGACAGGAGATGTGAGTTGGTTTATTCACTAAATTAGCTCAGGATAATTGGATGTTCTGTACACCTGTTGATGTGAGGCTAATGCAGGATTTGCTAGCTTGATGCTACCGGCATTTAGCGGCAGTGACTCAACAAATTGCCACTTAAAATGTATCGTCAGCAATGTATGACAAGCAGACTGCTTGTTTAATGTTAAACTCACACCAATAGCTCAATATGATCATAAAACGATTGCTTTCATATCAGAGATCAGATGAGGTGGAGCTGCCTCCAGCAATAGAGGATGAGGCAGAGAGAAGCAGCAGCAGCACACAGGGTTGCAGCAGGTATGTTATATGCTGTAGTCAGGTGATTTAAATGTATCAATGAAAGGAAGAAGTGTAGGCTACATGATAAGAAGGGAATACAGTTTGAATTAAGGTAATAAAGTGCAGTGTAACACTGTACTTTATTACTTTTTAATGTACAAATACTTTGTTACTGTACGATATCAATAACAATAATCCACAGCTCCTCTCTCTGCTCCAGAGGATAAAAA